TTCGAGCCCTGCGTCGGGCTCTGGGCTGATGGCTCAGAGCCTGGAGCCTGTTTCCGATTCTGTGTCTCCCTCTCTCTCTGCCCCTCCCCCGTTCATGCTCTGTCTCTCTCTGTCGCAAAAATAAATAAACGTTGAAAAAAAAAAATTTAAATTGGACCCTTTCTCCACTCTGCTTAAAATTCGCCATCACACTTAGGATAAAATCCACCCTCCTTACCAAGGCAGACAAGCCCTGCGTAGCCCAGTCTTTGACGACACCTACCCTGCTTTATGCCTCCTGCCGAAATGCAGTGCCCTCCAAGCTCACCGGACCCCCTTCTCATCCACAGACCTTCCAGATCTTCTGCTACCTCAGGGCCTTTACACTGGCTGTTCTTTGCCCAAGTCTTTTTATCATTTTTTTTTAATGTTTATTTTTGAGAGAGAGAGAGAGAGAGAGAGAGAGAGAGAGAGAGAGAGACAGAGCCTGGGCAGGGAGGGGCAGAGAGAGAGAGGGAGACACAGAATCCGAAGCAGGCTCCAGGCTCCGAGCTGCCAGCACAGAGCCCGAAGTGGGGCTCGAACTCACGAACCGTGAGATCGTGACCTGAGCCAAAATCAAGACTCAGATGCTTAAGTGACTGAGCCACCAAGTCGCCCCTCATTTTGGTCTCAGTGGAAACCCCCTTTGAGAGGCCTCCCTGACAACATCGAAGGCAGTGACTCCCCAGTCCCCAGGCCTGTTCCAGTCACCATCCCGTTTCATTGCCTGCATAGAACTACATGTGATCTGAGATCATCCTGGGGACGACTGCTGAAAGGAAACTTTTCAGAACGTCACCAGTGGTCCAAATTCTGATGAGATTACGTGCGGCATGAAACTTTCTGCTTTCCAGAGCTTCCACAATTAACACATATGATTTTCCATCAGAAAGAGGCAATGGATGCTCAAAAAAAAAAAAAAAGTCCACATCAATAAAAAATTAAAAATTTTTTAAGTTAAAAATAAGTTGAAAAAATTTTAAAAAATAACAGAACAATTATAAAAATGGCCTACAGTGTAGGGACATCTCTGCCTTCAGTACCGTTGTCTTGGCTAACAGCGCATTTCCCTTCTAGATGGTTCCCCAGCAGAAAGAATTTCCTTCCAGATGATTGTGTTTGGTTTTAAAAACTCATCCACAGAATTCTTTGCTGCTGTGTCCCTCCTGCCACAGCAAAGCTGACCTCAGTGAGTTGCTCGTGACCCAGCAGGGTGAATTGAAAAGTGATGCTGTATGACTTCCAAGGTCAGGTCAGAAAAAGCCCTCTCTCTTTGGATGCTTGCTCCGGAGGCATCTGGAGGAAACCAGACACAATGTTAGAAATACAGCAGCTTTGAGGGGCGCCTGGGTGGCTCAGTCGGTTAAGCATCCGACTTTGGCTCAGGTCATGATCTCACGGTTCATGTTGTCCGAGCTCTGCTTCAGGCTGTGTGCTGACAGCTCAGAGCCTGGAGCCTGCAGCCTGTTTCGGATTCTTTGTCTCCGTCTCTCTCTGCCCTCCCCCGCTAGCGCTCCATCCCTCTCTCTCAAAAATAAATAAACATTAAAAATTTTTTTAAATAAAAGAAATATAGCAGCTTTGAGGCTACCTTGTTGGAGAGGCCACGCCACAGGCGCTCCGCCACCAGCCGCATGAACCGCCAGCCTGAGGAGGGAGGCCACCGGACGTGCCATCCCGGATGCCCGTCCCGCCAGGTCCTCATACAGCTGAATGTCAACCACCATCTGGCGGTCGCAGCATGAGTGGCCCAACTGAGAACTGCCTGAAACCCTCCTCACCTTCTTGTCCCCGAAATCATGAAAAAAATGAACAGTATCGTTGCACGCCCCTAAGTTTTAGGGTAATTTGTTTTGCAAAAAACGGAAACTGTATTTCTCCATAGAAAAACACCAATTTGCCAGTCGCTTCAAAGGATCCGGGAAGGGCCGGTGCTGCGTTAACAGCAGGCTGGCCTACCCAGGGCTGCCTGGGGTGGAGACTCCAAACGCTCCTCTAGGACGAGACCCGCCACCGATTCCCTGCCTCAGTGCCTTTGGTCCTCAGCCGGCAAAGCTACCTGCCCCGCCCTCACACACGCTTCAGACCTCGAGTGTGGGCGGGCTCCGCTTAGGGCTGAGTGAGGCCTTGGGCAGAAAGGACCGGGGTGACTGGCATCCAGCAAGGTGAGACTCAGCCTCGTGACTCCTTCAGCCTGACCTTGCAGCGTGACATTTTTGCCAGACTCGCTGGGAGTCTGAGAACCTGCTTATGCGTCTTTGGCCAAGCAGCCTCCACGGTAGAATGGAAACCACAGGACTTTAGGCTCAGACAGCTCTGAAGACATTCTAATTTTGCATTTGGCTACAATCAAGAGACAGCTTGAACAACGTGGGTTTTTTTTTAATTTTTTTTTCAACGTTTTTATTTTTATTTTTGGGACAGAGAGAGACAGAGCATGAACGGGGGAGGGGCAGAGAGAGAGGGAGACACAGAATCGGAAACAGGCTCCAGGCTCTGAGCCATCAGCCCAGAGCCCGACGCGGGGCTCAAACTCACGGACCGCGAGATCGTGACCTGGCTGAAGTCAGACGCTTAACCGACTGCGCCACCCAGGCGCCCCACAACGTGGGTTTTTAAAAGAGGCTTGAGACACCTGCATGGCTCAGTGGGTTGAGCATCCAGCTCCAGCTCAGGTCATGATCTCGTGGTTGGTGAGTTCAAGCCCCACGGCAGGCTCTGCACTGACAGTGCAGAGCCTCCTTGGGATTCTCTCTCTCCTTCTCTCTCTGCCCCTCCCCTTATCACTCATTCTGTCTCTCTCTCTTTCTCTCTCTAAATAAATAAATAAAGACACTTTAAATAAATAAAAGAGAGGCTTATTTTTCTCATAGAAATCTGGAGGTAGGCAGCTGCTGGCATTGCTTTACCTGTTTTAATAATACCATAAGGGACCCAGGCCATGTTAAGCCTGAGACTCAGGATTTTCCTTCTTTCTCTTTCTTTCTTTTTTTCCCCCACTCATGGTCACAAGATGGCTGCAGCAGCACCAGATATCACATCTGCTAACAAGGCAGTGAGAGGAAGGAAGTGCGAAAAGTCATGTGAGCCACATCTTTTTTTTTCTCTTTCTTTCTTTCTTTCTTTCTTTCTTTCCAAAAAGCTTTTCAGAGCCACACATAACAGTGTTTTCCTTAGGTTTCATGGGCCAAAACTGGATCACATGGCTCCCCCTAGCTGCAGAAGGGACTGAGGAACTGGGAAACAGCTTTGTCATGATTGTCTGCATCATAAGTCATCATCTGGGGCTAGGTGCATTGAAGCCTTACACTCGGGTTCCTGTTAGCAAGGACGAAAGGCATGAGGATTTTTACAGACAAGTTAGTGGTATCCACCCAAGCCACCTGACCACTTGCATATCCTAGTGACTTTGAGCAAGACACGCGAGGCCTCTCAGCTTCAGTTACTTACCTGTAAAGTGGAACACCACGTTCCCAGCATCCCGCAGGGCACTGGCTTCCCGAGGATGTCCTGAACGGAGACGTTCCGGGAAGAAAGCCATGCTGCTTTTATCTATCCAAATCCATCGCAAAATGTCTAGAGTTAACCTGGTGGTGGTTTTCATTATGATAACAGAAGTGTTCATGGTTCTGGCTCTGAGAGCAGCACTCTGCTTCAGAAGGAAAATCTGGATGCTGTGGAGAAAATGTGCTGCAAGGCACAGTCACGTGGCGCCGGAATGGGTCGGGGACACAGGACGTAGTCAGTGTGGCCCGCACAGCACATTTCCCTGACCTCTGCTCTCGGTAACTCTACAAGCTGGTTCCTGCCCCCAACGCAGGATGCCGGGGCCCACGGACATCTCTCTGCATTTACTCAGTGGCATTTACACATTCTCTTCCTGTAGTTTCTTACTTTTTTTGTGGGGTCATTACCTATGATCCTACCCGAGGCACATCTGGACCAATTTCCGAGCTGGAAAAGCAGCTCACATCTTGCCCAGAGCAATGTTATCAAGGTTGTTCCGCTTTCCACCCTAACTCAGATGCATTCTCCCCTCCTTGTCTGATCTTGTCGTCGTTAATCAAGCCGATTTTCTGTCGCCAGCCTAAATTGCTACTTGCCGCAGTCTCTTCGCCCCACAGAGAAATCCCTTTTAACACCGTCTCCAGAGAGGCTAAGTCCTTGACTCCTAACCAGAATAAAGTGACTCGTTAAACTAGTCCATTGCCTTTCGGAATGAACGTGGCCACATAAGACCATTTTTCTACGTCTCCTCCTGGAAATCATGCATAAAGAACAAGGAGGACTTAAAAACCCCATAAACTCCATTTTCGGGAAAACCAGAAAAGAGATACAGCCCACAGACTTCAAGGTACGTGTACGGACTGACAACCGGGCAGGAGGGAGCAGAACCGTGCGGGATGGGGAGTGGAGGAATGCGGGAAGGCCGCTGGCAGCCGAGGAGCACATCGGGTAACCTGCACGTCCCGGGATGAGGGGTTCGCCCCCGAAACCCGGCGGCCGCACCTGCCGCCTCCTCATCTGGTCCAGAGATGCAGGGGAGGCCGGGCTGTAAAAATCGGAGCTGTGTTTATAGCCTAACCCTGGCAGGGGACAAGGAAAACCCACCCAGGTTGACGAATTAATTCTGCCATCCCTCAAGGACTTAGGGCTGAGCGTGTTGCCAATTCTCCCTCTCCTTTTCCATGTTAATGGAGTTTTCAGCCAGGCACAGGGCCGCCAACCTGGAGACTACATCTCCCAGCCTCCCTTTCAGCTTCATGTGGCCATGTGACTACTAGAGGCCAATTAGAGGGTTGCCAGCAGAAGGGTGGCTCCCAGCCTCCCCCCCAGCACATGTGGTCATGTGACTATTAGGGGCCAATGGGAGGTAAGCAGAAGGACTCTCCCAGCCTCCTTTTCAGCCCCTTGTTGTCATGTGACTATGAGGGGCCAATGGGGTGTGAGAAGAGAAGTGAGCAGCGTCAGGCGTAAGCGCGAGCGGCTTGTTTCAGACGTCTGCCCTTTTCCGTTCTGTTCGGAGGCTGGGAAGCAGATGCGGGAGCAATGCAGCTTGCACTGTGTTCCGTGTGGACAGGAGTCTAGGGGGTGAGAGAGCGCAGGAGGGAAGGGACCTGGGTCTCGGGTGACTTCGTGTGGTGTGGAGCCCCACCCACCCCACGGCCAGGACGCAGGACCGCAGGGACAGGCCGCGTGGGACAGGTCGGCCTCTGTTCTGTGTCCTTAACCCATAGGCTCTGTTTTGTGCCCTTATGTAAATTGGCACCTAGAAGCGAGATGTGGCCACCACAAAAAGCTGTAGTGAGTTAGTGGCCTGGGAGGGGCCCCGAGGGCTTCTTCGCCCCAACCCTCTGGGTGTAAATCAGCCTCTCTGGGGGCCAGGGAAGCCCGGCGTCCCAGGACTGCGCCCCGCCTCCCCCCGCAGCATTCGGCGAATCTCTCCGGAATTCTCTCCCCCTGCAGTTAACTCCCCAAGTTGGTCCTCATCCAGGATCCCGTTTCAGGAGCGTGTGCCCAAAAAGCTGCACCTGCGTAGAAATACAAAAATGTGTCACCAACAACCCTACGGTGAGCATATGGCACATGTCACCCCCTCTCCTCTTTTCCTTCTATTTCAGAGCTCAGCCACGGCCTGTCAGGGGCCTAGGCTTTCTGCGAGGTCTGCGCTCTCTGAACGGGACCGAGTGTAGCTCACGGTGGAAAAACGCAGCAAGGGCTCCTGACAAGTGTTGCGGCTCCTCTCGCCAGTGAGGCTGTGGACCACTGCAGGTACCGTCTAGAGGTTTCTGGAATCTTCCACGGAGTCGTGCACGTGCTTTGCCCACACCGGGCAGCCAAATGTCTGTTCACTGACTTTCTAAAACTCTCAACCTCACTCGACTGAAAGTGGTTTCTATCTGGAGGTGCGCTCAGTTCTCAGAACAGATGCCGGTGAGCTCACCTAGGTTACCAGCCCACGCTCCCCCAGATGACGTTTCGACAAGAAACTTCTTTTCATCCCCGAACGAAAACTCACCTGAAAGCATCAGTGTCTAAGGAGACACGAGAGGTCCTGCCTGTGGTGCTTGGGAAAGGTGGTTCTGAACCCACCCGACCCCCTTTCCTCCTTTCTCAGCTGGTCTCAGGGATCGGAACCATCCTCATTCAAATGAAAATGGCAGAGGTCACAGCTTCTCTGCGATCTGCCATGGGCCACTACATCCTGTCACACTGGGCAGAAACCCTAGGCTAACTGCTCACGCACACAGTGGCGTGCTTACAAGCATCTTGATAAGAGAAAGAAGCTGGACACGATAAAAGGATGTACTGTTTTATTCCATGGACGTGGAATTCTAGAACACACAGATCTGTAGTGACAGAAAGCAAATCAGTAGTTGTTTCCAGGGATTGACCAGGGAGGGGGCATGAGAGAATGAGCCAGGTGATAGAAAAGTCTAGATCTTGATAGAGGTCTGGCTTTCACAGGTGTGTGTACTTGTCAGCACCCATCAAATCATATCACTTCAGACTAGTGCGTTTTGCCGTATGCACATTTTACCTAAAAAAAAAAAAAAAAGAAAGAAAGAAACAAACCCAGTGGGTGAGGTGGGGCGAGTAAGTGGCCTGTGGTAGGCAAGCGGAGACAGGGTGGGGGCTGTGCTGAGAGCTAGCCTGGTCAGACAGCCCGGAGCTGACCGCCGATCCCTGACCAGGTGACCGGACTGTTTGGCCACTAGATAGGATGCGCTGAAAGTTGACGTGACCCAAATTGCATTTTAGGAAGGTAGGATTATTTTGTTACTGTCTCAAGTGGGCACACCCCAGCTTCTTGCTGTGAACATTGCTGTTAACTGTGGCCGTCGTGCCCGTGGGCCCCTTCTGTGTTTGGGGACTCCGAAATCTGCCCCTAGACCTCCCGCCAGACAGGCCGGAAGTGCCCGCTTCTCACCCTCACGCCTCCCAACCAGCCAGACGGGGGCTCGTGGCTCTAGCTTGGATTCAGAGCCAGTAGGCAAAGGAGCAGAGACCTCACGGGACCGGTCCGCCAGGAGTGGCCGCGGCAGAGCCCCTGTGTCCAGTGTCCAGAGCCCCAGTGTTAGGGACCGGAGAGGCCAGTGGGGTGGACAGATCTGTCAGTGCCCCGGGGTGGGGGCCGCAGCGTCTTCCAGCCGGTGTGAACTGGGGCACTGCTCACAGCAAAGCGGCCTCCACGCCCGACTCTGAGACCTCCTGAAGGTCTGTGAGCGCCCTGATCCTTTTAATAAATTCCTTTTCGGCTTTAATTAACTAGTTTCCGTTTCTGTTGCTAGTCACAAAAACCCCTAACCCGAGATGCTGCTGCGCTCTGAGCATCAGTTCCTTGGGTCTGCAGGTAGCCAGGGCAAAGATGTCACGCAGACCACGGGAGTTGGGATCCAAAAGCCAGCCTTCTCATCAGGGCCCTGGAGAAGCGCGGTGAGATTCTTAACCGTTGCCTGTGGGGCTCCCCGCCTAAAATGCAAGAGTTACAGCAAATGACCTGAAGACCTCACCCAGCTCTGAAGACATGATGACATGGTAGCTAACCACGTGATGGGACTTGATGTCTCCGCTTGGACGACGGCTCTGGGTGGACAGGTGGTGCCGCCGTCGTCCCCTGCCACAGGGCCCGTGCCCCCGGGGGACGCGCGGGGCCCATGGAGAAGCAGCATTGACCCAGGGCTCCGGCAGCGGACCCAGCAGAGGCTCTCTGTGGTCCGCTTTCCCCTTAGCCCGTAACATGCATCCGCTCCAAGCGTCTGGGCCAGAGGAGGGAGGGAGGTCAGGATATTCATCTTGCCCCTTTGAGCTCCGAGTCCAGCTTTCCTAAGCATCAGCTTAATTACCGGAGCTGAGAACTGGGCATTCTCGCTCAGGCACCTACAGCTGTAAAGCAGTAAAGGACTTTATTCTTTGCTTCAGGAACGCCTTCAGAATCAATCTGTCTGAACCGTAGAGTTCCCAAAAACAAGCCTTCTGGGACTCGAGATTGTTCCACTGGTCAAAGCATTGCCTTGGCAGACAACTGTGTACTTTTCAAATCTCCTTCTAGATCCTTGCCTTATTGTGCCCACCAAACCTAAACCATTATGTCGAGAGCTTTGCACAATCCCCATATAGTCTTCCCACGGAAAGACCCTCCCTAAACCACTGAAGACACATGGGGGGTGCTGAATGGGGGCCCCTAAAGATATGTCCACATCCTAATCTCTCAAATCTGTGACTGTGACCTTATTTAGAAAAAAAAAAAAAAAGGTGGGCTGGGGGGAGGGGTCTTTGTTGATGTAACTGAGGGACTTTGTGACGAGAGCAGCCTGAATTATCTCAACGGGCCCTAAATCCAATGACAAGCACCCTTATGAAAGACACACAGACGGAGAGGAAGCAGCGTAACCATAGAGGTGGGGTTCGGTGTGGTACCGGAAGCCCAGAAATACCGATCACCCCAAAGCTGGAAGAGGCCAGGAACAGAGTCTCCCCTGGAGCCCCCTGTGGGATTTTGGCCTAGTGCCCTGAACTGTGAGAGAAGAAATCTCCGTTGTTTTAGACCGCCTAGTTCACGGGAGTTTGCACAGGGATCCGACAGTGATTAATAGTCGTCTCATGGTTGACGTGCCAGAAACCGAGCTCTGGGTTCCTCCCCGGGCCACTGTACTCAGGATCTTGCCCGAGTCGGTTGTATCCTTCCTGCCAGCTGCTCAGGCTAAAACCTGGGAGACAGTCTTGATTTCTCGCTCTTGCACATTTCACAGTCAAACTGTCAAGAAATCTTGTAGCCTCCACCTTGAAAGCATGAACCCAGAATCTGAGCTCCCCTCCGTCCCCTCCCCTGCTTCCATATGATGGGTTATTACAGGGTCCTCCAACTGCTCTCTCTCTACCCTTTTTTGTTTCTCACTCACCCATTATCATTCATTCCATTCCAGCCTCCTCATTGTTCCTCTAATACCCCAGTGCCTTTGCACAGACTGCTTCATCTCCCTAGAGTACCCTTCCCCTGACAGCTGTATGGCTCGGCATCTCTCCACCTTCAGATGTTTGCTTGAAGGTCACTTTCTCAATAAGTTCTCTCTTGTCCATTCATTTAAAATACCGTCACCTCCCCCAGCATTCCCGATCTTTCTTATCCTGCTCTATTTTTACTCCACAGCCCTTAACGCCTTGTGTCATGCTGTGCCCTTTATTTATGTACTATGTGTGTTTACTGTCCATGTCTCCCCACCAGAGTGTAAACTCTAGGCCAGCAGGCATTTTTACTTCCTTTATTCCCTGATATATCACCCAGCAAAGTGCCAGACTCAGAGTAGGCGCTCAATAAATATTTGTTGAATAAATAAGTGAAATAAAGAAAGTGGCGGTTATGTCTTTCATAATAGAGTGCATTTGTTGAGATCACAAAGGAAGTGAAATTGTGTGGTCATCAAAACGTATTGTCTGCAGCATAGCATTTTGAAATACGAAGATATTCCGCTTTACGAAAATGGCTGTCATTTTTTTCATCTTATCAGCTGCCTTTAGAAGCCTCGCCACTTTGTAACGCAGTCGATGGCTCACCGCTGGGAACAGTGGCATTTTTCTCCCTAGTCTGGACCAAGATAATAATTGTCACAGGGCACGCCTAGGGCATCCGTAACACTCAGATAGGCTAGGTGACACCGCGCAACAAACTGCCCCTGGATTTCAGTGCCTTGGAACAGAAATGGTCTGTGTCTTGCTCACTTGAAGTCCTGGCGGAACTGAGCGATGTCTCTGCAGCTGCTCTCCGTGCAGGGGTTCATTTCTGTTTCCTGGGAGTGAACGCGCTCCCAGGGCCACTTGGGCAGGAGGGAGGGGAGAGGGAAGGGAGTGCCAGACCCTCTTCCACAGGCATTTAAATGCTTCCACCTACGACTAACACGTTTCCCTTCTGCTCCATGCCATTGGCCAGAGCCAGTCACATGACCTCAAAGGCACATGGGCCGGAAAAGAGGGGGAACCAGAAATCCTGACAAGCGCCATCATGGATCCCCCCACAAGTGAAGCGAAAAGACATAGATCTTTTGTAGATTTGGGGGCCCCGTGTTCATGTCTTTTGTCAGTTTTTGCAATAAACTGGTGGGTTTTTTTTTTTTCTTGTTAATTTGAAGAAAGTCTTCGGTGCTTTGCCTCTGATCGAAATTGCCAACAGTGTTGCAATTTGTCTTTGGACTTGGTATTTTTATGGTGGTTTATGCTGTGCAGAGCTGAGCGCTTTTAGAACCTTTTTATTGTAAAATAAAATTTCTGTACAGGAAAGCACATAAGAGAGATGTCTAGCTTAATGAGTGGTCTTAAGGCAGACACCCTTGTAAACTACGCCTGGGATGGGAACAGCCTCAGAGACCATCGCCATCTTTCCCATCTCAACTTCCCCTCTCTGCACAAAGTGACCACTCTCCTGAGCTATGTGGCCATCGCCTCTTGTCATTCCTGAATAGGTCACCCAGCGCGTATCCCTAGGACACCACGGTTCAGTCTCGCCCACTTTAAAAAATCGTGCTATGTCTCTTAAGTTGCGTTCAATTTCGCCATTTCTTTTACATCCTTTTTTTTTCTTGCAATTTACCTGTGGAAAGTTCTGGGCTATCTGGGGCTGATTGCAACCCCACAGCACAGTTCAGCGTGACCCTGGCTTAATTGGCAACTGAATCCAAAGGCTTGATGCGGCCCGTGTATCATCCTTTTGGTGAGACTCTAGGTGGTGTCTCTTGTGTCCTCGCATAGGCTAGAACCACCCCCCCGCCCCGTGCAACATTAAATAATAATAAAGCATCGTCTTCATGTTGCTGATTCTAGTGAAAACACCTCTAGGGGATTGCCATTAGGAATGACGCTGGGTTTTGAGCTAGGATAAATGTTTTATTATGTATCCATGGTGGATAAGCTAGTATGAATCTACCCCTGTTTCTCTGAGTACTTTTTTTTTTTAATTGGAATGGATATTGAAATTTTTCAGATGCCCCCTTAGCATAAAATGAAGATGATCTTTCCATTTCCCTTGAATTATATTATTTCATTAGATTCCCTCAAATTGAATTGTTCCTATACTCCTCACGTAACATACTTGGTCATGATGGATTCGAAAATGTTACTGGGTTAGTTCATTCAATACATTTTCATTGAAGTATAATTAACATTACTCGGCCATAAAAAAAGAATGAAATCTTGCCATTAATATATTTTATTTAGAGTTTTTACATCTGCATTCGTGAGTGAGAGTTTTTTTTATTGTTGCCATCACTGTGTCTGCTCCCACCGCAATCTGGTGGGTATTAATGTCAAGGTTATGTTCTTTTCATAAAAAGAATTTGAAACATTTCCTCCTTTTTCTGGGCACGCACTGCGTGGCTGGAGTGGATCCTCTGGTAATTGCCCCAAGAAGGCCTCATAGAATGGTGTTTTCTTAGTCTTTAACGTCAGAGGTATTTTGTGGGTAGCCTTCACACTCTATGTAGAGTTTGGATGGATGTAAAATTGTGGCTCACAACCTCTTTCCGTGAGAATGTTGTAAGGCTTTCTCTGCTTGGTTGCTTGTCCCCCACCCTCACTCCCTCACACACATCCCCCCCCTCATATGGGGGGGGGGGGGCTTTAAATGTTGCTATAAAAACATCTGAGACCTGCTTGGGTTTTTCTTCAGCTTGTCTCCCTTTTCTTGCATGGCTGTCCAAAGGAAGTTTCTCTTTATCCTTGAAGCGTAGTGACCAGCTAGTTCCAGCATTAGCCGCTCCGCGTACCCTGACGTGCTCCTTCACTCCGCAGGCTCAGGCTTCTTTTCTTTCAAAGACGTTTTCTTGGACCATGTCTTCAAATATTTCTTCTCTCCCATTCTGGTTTCCTCCCTCCGGGACTCCAGTTACGACATCTGTGGTTTCTTCTCCCACAGCTTTTGTGTCATCCGCTCTGCACTCCATTTTATTTTATTTTTTTTTTAACATTTATTTATTTTTGAGACAGAGAGAGAGAGAGCATGAACAGGGGAGGGTCAGAGAAAGAGGGAGACACAGAATCTGAAACAGGCTCCAGGCTTCCAGCTGTCAGCACAGGGCTCGAACCCATGGACCGCGAGATCATGACCTGAGCCGAAGTCTGACGCTTAACCGACTGAGCCACCCAGGCGCCCCTGCACTCCATTTTAAAACTGTGTCTCTTTTCGGTTTTTTTTTTTTCTTTTCCTTTCTCTCCTCTAATGAGAGGCAGGCTACTGCTTTGTTGTTTTGTATGAGTTTTGGCCTCAGTGGCATCCCTTTTGCTCCCTCCGACTCTCTCTGCATTGCTGAGATGGTTTTCTTTTTTTCTCTTTCTTTCTTTCTTTCTTTCTTTCTTTCTTTCTTTCTTTCTTTCTTTCTTTCTTTCTTTCTTCTTTTTCCTGAGTTCTGTCAACTTTTGTTTTATCCCCCTTCTCTCTCACCTGATATTTTGGCCATTGTATCTGCGGTCTCCTTTATTTGAGATCATTTCCTTAAGGTTTTAAAAATTCACGGTGAGATGATTGTTTCATTTTCCTCTCTATGCTGTGGAGCCCTAGGCAGGATAGTGTCGCCCCCAAGGACAATATCCACGTGCTAGGTCATGGACCCTGTGAATACACTGTGTTATGTAGCAAAGGGGAATAAATGTTGCAAATGGAATTAAGGTTGCTAATCAGATAACCTTAATATAGGGATATTTCCCTGGATTATCTGGGTGGGTGTAATGTAATCACAAGCACCCTGGAGTGTGGAAGGGGAGGGCCAGAGTGGTGAAATAGAACCAAAACTCAACTGGCCATTGCTGGCTTTGCAGCTGGAGGAAGAGGCCGTGGGCCCAGAAATGCAGGCGCCTCCAGAAGCTGGAAAAGACCAGAAAACAGCCGTCCCCCGGGCCTCCAGAAGGAACACGGCCCAGTGACTCCAGTCTCAGCAGACGTCCAAAACTGTAAGATAATAAATTTGTGTTGTTTAAAGCCACTAATGTAGTGGCAGTTTTTGTGCAGTGGCAATAGGAAGCTAATACAATTGAAAAATATCTGAGTATTCTTTATAAATATTTGCTGCTGTTTTTTTTTCTTTTAGTACATCATGTAGATATATGTGTATATGTATTCATAGAGACAGACATATGTAGACGTAAATGTAGTAACATAAGTAAGAAGACATATTCGTATGTCTCTCTCTATATATTACTTACTACTACATGAGTCAGGGCGGGGAGGACCCGGTTGTAGCCTTCATGATGCCAGCTCTTACTTGTGAGTTACAACCAGAACAGACAGCTTCCTGTATGGCCCGTCTTCGTGATTCTTGACATCTCTAAACCCGCGTGGTTCCAGTGGGGGCATTTGTCGATCCTTTTTTTCTCCCCCCCCCCCCCCCCCCGCCCACAATGGAACAGCAAATGAAAGCTGTGCCCGTCAGGATGTGTCTCTGGCCCTACAGAACTGTGTTTTTGCTGATGTTTTCTGAGCTTTGTGGCATCTGGACTGTCACCCCTTAGATCTGTCCTCAGCGTGTCTCCGTTTCCTTGCACCAGCTCTCATCACAACGCAGATGCTTTCGGGAGCATCTCCCTTTCTGTGGAGTTTACTTTCATTGCCGAAAACAAAATTTGCTTCTTTTATTAGTCTTTTTTTTTTTTTGGAGCATAGAGGAAATGGGAGTTTCACAGATATGTTCATAAGGGAATTCTAATCTAAATTTTTAACAAGTGTCCCAGTTGACCAAAAGAAATCTTTGGGCCACGCTTTTGGAAACATCTAGAAATTTTTTTACTGTTGAATGGAGAGACTCGACCCCAAGGCAGAGACAAGCTCGCGGGTCCACCCAGGCAAGCACCCTACTTCATGCTTGGCAAATACTAATGGCTCCACAAGCATTATGAGCAGAACAAATGGGGTTTTTTCCCTAGGTCTTCTGCTAAGGAAAACCCTAAAGGCAAAATATTTTTTGTTTATGAAATCAAAAACCAGCAAAGATGTCAAGTATAGGATAGCTTAGCCCCAGCTCCTCGTCAGATGATGCGCCATCAGGGACCCTTGGTGAGAAGAGACCCAAGGAAGAGCCACGGGTTCCGTTTGCCTAAAAATACCTCTTATCCAACCTGCGCAGCTTGAACACTTTCCCCAGGCAGTGGATAGAAAAATAAAGGGAGAGGGATTGTCTCCAGAGGTGTGTGAAGATGCCCAGAGAGGAGAGGACCGTACCCGGCCCTGCCATCGGATGAGAAACGGGCTTTGTTTACAGTAGCACGGGCCACCCGCTGAGAAAATGTCTTTGATTAATTCTTTAAACATTTACTCCCCATCTGTGTCGTACCCAGTGACTGCGTTGTCAGATTTGCTGACATTGTGGGGGCTGCTCTCCAAATTTATTTAGATGATAAGTAAACATGTCAGGCTGATAAAAAGTGTGTGTTCTATGAGTCATGGTGGGCTTTCTCTCGTTTTGATCCAAATATCACTCAAAGAATATCTAATTCTGGCATTGCTCCTCGGGACAGGGTTGTATGTGCTTGTGTCCTCTCTGACCTTGTCCGTTGTTACTCACGTAGATGGGCTGAATTGCGCCCTGCCCCAAGTTCACATGTTGGAGTCCTAACCTGCAAGCCCTCAGAATGTGCCTGCATCGGGAGACAGCGTCTCCTACTCAAGAGGTAATTAGGTTACAATTAGGTTATTAGTGTGGGTCCTCCTCCAGGAGGACTGAAGTTCTTACGAGAAGAGATCAGGACACAGACACACACACAGGGACAACCACGTGAGGACATGGGGAGACAGTGGCTGTCTCCGTGCCAAGGAGAGAGACCTCAGGGGAGACCAGACCTGTTGACACCTTGGTGTTGCACTTTACGACCCCAGAGGTGTGAGAAAACCAAAGTCTGTAGTTAAGGTCGCCCAGCCTGTGGCGCCTTGTTAGGCGGCCCGCTCAGACCGATAACGGGCTGCTGGTTGGACAGGAGGCTGGGGCCCGTCAGAGAAGATCTTCACTAAGTGTTGTGCGACCTTATCCTTGGAAAATCTGTTGCCCTGACATCAGTCCCCCATTCTCATGCTTCTCTGTGACCTTCTTATAACAGGCTCTCAGGAAACAATAAAGATCTTGAAACCTAAGACCGACGTGAGCGAATGAGTCTGCCAAGTTCACGTCAAGATCCCGGCAGAGGCCTGCCTTTCACAGGGAAATGAAGGGGACTCCGGGGTTCCAGCTTGGGTTTCTGTGCGAGTCCCCACTTAACCACACACCCTTCCCTCCCCCACCACCGGGAGCCTGCAGACGACAAGGTTAGCTCGGTTGTGGGTTGGTTAGCCTAAAACGGTCGATGACCGTGTCTCCTCCAAACTTCCTTCCAGCTCAAAAGATGGGCAATAGTGAGAAATTTATTCTCGGCTAACAAGGACGAGAGCGATTGTGATGATTTTTGCATGCATTTGGAGAGTATTGATACAGCCTCCCAGGTGTGTGAAAGCCAATCAGCGTTTCCATTAACGTTAGTAAACGTGGTTAGCGTGTACTGAGCACATCTTCGCCAGGCGGGCACGGTGCTTGGTGCTGCAGAAGTAAGGGGGGGCGGGGCGTGACTCCACTGGACCTTAGGATCTTGTGAGAGAACCAGGAGCCAGTGAAGCCAGATCGGAGACGCTTCACAGACCGCGACAGGCGCAACACAGGAAAAGACGCAGGACCGCAAGGGCGTGGGGCGGTGGGGCCGGGTGAGCAGGGACCCAAGACCGGGCAGCGCCCGAGAAGCAGCGTACGCGGGCCAGACTGAGCCTGGCCGCGGCTGCAGAGACCCCCAGCCTGATAGCAGAAGCAACCGGGGCCTTCGAGTGTTTCCTTTTTTTTTTTTTAATTTTTTAAACTTTTATTCATTTTTGAGAGAGACAGAGCGTGAGCAGGGGAGGGGCAGAGAGAGAGGGAGACACAGAATGGGAAGCAGGCTCCGGGCTCCCGTCTATCAGCACAGAGCCCGACGTGGGGCTCAAACTCCCCAAGTGTGAAATCATGACCTGAGCTGAAGTTGGATGCTTAACTGACTGAGCCACCCAGGTGCCCCTTTTGTGCCACACCATGTGAGATGTAAACCATAGGGAGACTGTGGAGGAGGGGCTCTAGGGCCCAGGGGAGGGCCGGGCGCTAACTTGGGGTAACACCTCCTCCCCCCGCCCCCCCCCCGCCATAGCAGGTGGAAGGAAGGGAGACCTATAGACACAGACTGGGAAGTCAAGAGGCATTTCAAGCTGGTGACCTCCCTTTTCTCCGTGGGGAAGGACACAGAGTCATCTTCTTAAAATGAGGGCAGGAGTAGTTGGGACGTGGACATGGGTTTGAAAAGAGCTGAAATTCTCGCGGGATAGCGGACAAAGGAGCAGATGCCTGGAACCTAACGGACGTGCCGGAGTCCGGGCGGCCTTCGCCTCACGCTAGAGGCCCGCCTGCAGGTAAACCTCGTCTCCTGCCATCTCAAATGGGTGCTCTGTGTGCCCTTGGAGGTACCTTCAGGCTCTCCCCTGCCGGCCCTCTCCCCCCAGCAAGACTGAGGACCTCCCTCAGGAGTTTTCCTCCTCTTCCAAGCTTCCCAGGGAGTTCGGAATCTCCTTCTTTGTGTTTCCCCTAAACGAGAAACATCCTTTCGGCACTCAGTCTATCACATAATTGTGTTCGTGACTGTTTCTACTTGCCGAGGCCTTGAGGGCCAGGTCAACGCCTCCTCCATGTTTTTCAACGAAGTGTTTGGCAAAGTTGAGTTACTACCTTGGTGTTTTGCCAGGAATCCAAGTATTTGCCTTCTGTCAATTCACAGGGTGAAAATTTCCACATCCCCGACAGCAGACATGAATCCGTAAAGGGTTCGCTCTTGGCTCTGGTATTATGGAAGAGTTGCTTAGCCTGTTTTCTTCCCTAGTTCTCAGAATAAGTGGTGCCTACTTTACAAAAAAAAAATTACTTTTACCCATGACTGATGATGAGGTTCACTCCCACCCCCTGGCGGTCACCAGCCAGCGTTCTACCTCTACAGATCCGCCTACTCTGAACATTCCACATAAATGGAATCCCACGGTATATGGCCTTTAGTGTCTGCCTCCTTTCACTCAGCATCATGTTTTCAAGGTTAATCTAGGTTGTAGCAGGTGTCAGGATTTCTTTCTTTCTGCGGCTGAATAAGAGCCATTGGATGGATTCCATTTTGTTGATTGATTCGTCCACTGGTGGACACTTGGGTTGTTTCCTCCAAGATCTCGGCTGTTGTGAATGATGCTGCTGTGAACACGCGCTTATGATGCCCTCTGCACAAATGCTGGTCTGCGTTGTCTCCCCTGATGCCTCCCCCGATGCCTCCCCCTAGTCTCTCTCCCCAGAGCCCCCCCCCACCTCAGCTTCTTCGATGTCTGCACTGCTCTGAAAGGCAGACTCTCAACTCCTTCTCCTTCTCCAACTCATCCTCCCTGTCCTTCTCCTTCCAAGCTCCCAGCATAGTTGCCACCAAGCCCTCACCAATCCCTAAGGAAAAGGAGATGGGGGTCATAGTGGCCCTGCCACTCCCAGTGTTTCTACATCTTTTTTTTACGTATTCCTATTTGCGTACAGAAACGTGCACCTAAAGAAAATGCGGTGTTTGTGTGCGTGACAGAGAGCAGCATGGGTGAAATTATTCAGTGCCTTTCATTTGGTGACTTTGCTTTTTATTTCTTAATGCTGTGTCTCGATGTTCTGTCGAACTCCATGTCAGTACAGACAGATGTACCTAATTATTTTTAGCTGCTGTGAAATAGTCCGTAGCACCAGTCACAATGACTTAATTAGCTACTTATCTGTGGACGGACGTAGGCTTCCCATTTTTCCCTATAGCAAGTAATTTTGCAGTGAACGCTGCTTCAGTGCTTCCTTATCTAAAAGTGTCGCTGTTTCTCCTGGTTGATACTGGAAAGAAGTCTCTGTCAT